ATGAAAAAATTTGTGATTGAAGTGAAATGAATTCGAGTCTTACTATAATGGGTGGTAATTTTTATGTTACATAGGTATTGCAACAAAGAACTGTGTTTGATAAGTATTTTCATTTTAATTTGCTATGTATATAATATTTACCTGGAAGGTAATTTCAATTTCTTCCACATGATGGTAGCTAACCTATACATCAAAAAATTTTACGGCAATCATTTGAGATAAAGCCTAACGCTGTCATCAATTTTATTATTTTTAATGTAACATCTTGTATATTACTGTACTTTTAGATTTTGTGTGCATTTTTAGATAGATTTTTTACCTTCTTCATTGTTATTCTGTTACGGGTATCATGTTATTATGATATCTGTCAGAACACCTATCTCATTGCAACTATGTTGTCTGTTAATCTTGCAGAAGATCTGCATCTATCTCTTATTATCCTTTCATTCAAATAATATTATCTTATAGTTACCCTTTCCTTTAAATTAAAGACTGGATAATGCTTTTTTATATGAGACCTCTGATGGGAATCCTCTCTATACATCATTTTGTGTGTTACTCAGTGTCATTCTTATTATTCAATTTCGTGGTTGTATCCAAGGAACAAATTGTTTAATACATGCCTCCTTAAAATTTATCAACAATGAATGGAGAATTATCTTGCACTCATAGCAAGTAGTCTGAATTTTTTTTAGTGTAAAAATCTTATCCATACATAATTTATTATTTCTACTTCTGGCTTGATATTCCCATAGTTTATCTTCCACAGATATGTTTAGTCTTTTTGCACTCTAACGGTATCTTAGAACTGGTGTAAAACACCCATACAGGGTGTCCCAGACTAATTTACCCACGCTATATCTTTTAAACGAATAGAGATTTTCGAATGGGACAAAAAGTGGTCTATTCTATTTGTAATACACTTTAATATGGCGTAGAAAAAAATCATCCCCTAAATATTCATCCCTTAGTTACAACCCCTAACTTTAATTTTGTTAATAGCACCCTGTATATTTTTTTATAGTTTTGGATGTGGTCTTCTATCGTCTATTCAACAGATTTATTAAAAATAAAATCGGTTTGTAAATAATCAAGAAATCAATTAATTTTTTATTTTTGTTAATTAAGTGTCCCAGACTAATTTATCCAGGCTATATTTATTAACAAAATGGAGATTTTATAAAGGGTCAAAAACTCGTCTATTCCATTTGTAATACACTTTAATATAGCGAAGAAAAAATCATCCCCTAAATATTCATCCCTTAGTTACAACCCCTAACTTTAATTTTTTTAATAGCACCCTGTATATTTTTTTATAGTTTTAGATATGGTCTTCTATCGTCTATTCAACAGATTTATTAAAAATAAAATCGGTTTGTAAATAATCAAGAAATCAATTAATTTTTTTATTTTTGTTAATTAAGTGTCCCAGACTAAATTGTCCAGGCTATATTTCTCAACAAAATACGAGATTTTTTAAAGGAACAAAAACTGGTATATTCCATTTGTAATACATTTTAACACAGCGAAGAAAAAATCATCCCCTAAATATTCATCCCTTAGTTACAACCCCTAACTTAAATTTTTTAATGGCACCCTGTACATTGTTTATAGTTTTATATGTGGTCTTCTATCGTCTATTTAATCGATTTTTTAAAAATAAAATGGGTTGTAAAAAGGTATCAAGAAAATATCAGTTTATTTTTTATTTTTGTTAAATTAATCAAGATAGCCTTAAAAAATAGAATAGAAAAGAAATATTAGTAGTATAACTTCTTACACACCCTTTTTATTTAAAAATTATTTTTAATTTTTCAAAATTTGGTCTTTGTAGGAGCATACGTTATCTTCCAGTGTGGTTGATGTTATGTTCCGTTGATTAATTTAACAAAAATAAAAAATAAACTAATATTTTCTTGATACCTTACAAACCCATTTCATTTAAAAAAAAATCGGTTAAATAGACGATAGAAGACCACATCCAAAACTAGAAAAAAATGTACAGGGTGCTATTAAAAAAAATAAGTTAGGGGTTGTAACTAAGGGATGAATATTTAGAGGATAATTTTTTCTTCGCTATATTAAAGTGTATTACAAATGGAATAGACCAGTTTTCGACCCTTTAAAAAATCTCTATTTTGTTAATAAATATAACCTGGATAAATTAGTCTGGGACACTTAATTAACAAAAATAAAAAATTAATTGATTTCTTGATTATTTATAAACCGATTTTATTTTTAATAAATCTGTTGAATAGACGATAGAAGATCACATCCAAAACTATAAAAAAATATACAGGGTGCTATTAAAAAAATTAAAGTTAGGGGTTGTAACTAAGGGATGAATATTTAGGGGATGATTTTTTCTTCGCTATATTAAAGTGTATTACAAATGGAATAGATCACTTTTTGTCCCATTTGAAAATCTCTATTCGTTTAAAAAATATAGCGTGGGTAAATTAGTCTGGGACACCCTGTATAGTTTTCAAGTGACAAATTATTCCCTTCTTGTATATGGGGCCAATAAGACCTTTGTCCACCTTTTTAGTATAGTTTCCTCTTTACATATCCTCTTAATAATCCCTTTATTATGAAAATATGGGAAGATGAAGCCCTTAATATGCCCTTGTTGAAGCTCTTTACCTTCATTTTTACCACTCCAACTGCTATTTCAATTTCCCCAGCTTGTGTTATTTTTTAGACATTATATTCTTAATCTGTTCTATTATTCTTTTTTATAAGTAGATTTTCGTTATCCTGTGTATGTTATCTATTCAATAGTTCCCTAAAATGCCTTTCCCATATACCCATATCTGTTTTTTTTTACTCATTAGTGTTCTGTCTTATTTTTTCAAGCATTTAGTAAATTCTGGTATCCTTTTCAGTTTTTTAACTTCTTTCTTTTTATGAAATTTTTCTTCTACATAGTAAGTACTTTTTCGTTGTATTTTCTTTCGTTTCATTTACATATCCTTCTCATGTTTCTTATTTGATCCTTATAATGCTGGTTCAGGATATCATTGTTAGTTAGTGTATTGGCTTATTCTTTTCTTTTAGTATTTAGAGACACTCTTCATCGTTTTTTTTTCTATTACATTTAGTGTTTCTGCCACGTCATCTTTTTTGTCTGTTTTGGCTTTCTTGTTTTTTTTATCCTGTTGTATCATCTAGCAAGTAGTTAAAAAATAAACTGATCTCCTTATCAGCTTTATATGATTTTGTTTCACTATATGTGATCGTGATCAAGCTGGTTAATCTGAAAATATCTGTGTTCCTTTATATATTTCTATTCATTCTGAGTAGTCCTCACCAGCATAAATATTTCCATTGAAAAACTGATTAATCTCTGACCATTCTTCTACTTCTAGTGCTGTCTCCACTAATGAAGGTTGGCTATAACCATTGCAAAGTAGTCTCTATATTCTGCTTTTCTTAAGAGCATCTATGTGTTTAACCTGGTCCAGTGGTGAATGTTTTTCAGCCAGGATATTTGTCATCTACCAGGGCCTCTTTTTCCTTTGATTTTACCCTTAATCAGCTGCAACTGTCTGATTCTTTGACTATCATATCTTTACTTGATTTTTATGATTTGAGTCAAATCATTTTTCAGTTTTTTGAAATCATACTGTGGTTTAATCCACAAATAGGTTTAATATTTCGAATTTTAATACTTTCAAGACTAGCTAGGAACAGAGATTGACTAGGATCAGGACGATTTTCAATAAAAAAAGCTTAAATTTAAACAATTCCAGCGGAACAATGAGTCAGCACTCGAACAGTGTTATAGATCAAATTCAGCTACAAGAGGATCTCAACAGATTTAGCGATTGGTACAAACTAAATGAATTACAATTGAACATTGATAAGTGTTGTGTTATTACTTTTCACAGGAAGCAAACAATTTGAAATTACGATTATAGCATTGATAACACTCAGCTGTCTAGGCAGGACTGTGTTAAGGATTTAGGTGTTTATTTTGATTGTAAATTAGCATTTCGTAAGCATCTAGAGGTCACAGTAAACAGTGCATTTAAACAATTAGGGTTTATAACTAGAAACACTTCTCAATTTTCATGTTTTGTTTTACCAATTCTTTTTAATAGTCTCATTCGCTCCAGACTAGAATATGCAATAGTTGTATGGGGACCTTACTATCAAACATCTATAGACAAGCTTGATCGTGTTCAGCATAAATTTGGTAAACACTATCATTACTGTAGTGCTTTTCATGACCTCTCTGTCCCATACAGTTATAGTATGATAGCTGATCACTTGAAAATGGTTTCTATGAATCAGCGAAAAGATTATTTTTGCCTAATATTCCTTTACAAAATTGCTAATAATTTGATAAATTGCCCTGAACTTTTAAATCGATTAGGTCTTAACACTCTTCATGGAACTAGGCATACTTCATTATTTCATCTACCATTTCATCAATTTAATTATGAATACTTCAAGCCTTTTGCTCATATGGTAAGAGGCTTGAAGTATTGATAAGAAAAAGATTCATATTCATAAAACTAAGCTAATTTTCTCGTAATGACCAAATTACTGAACATTAGTAAACTGGAAGATGTAAGAATTATTTAATTATTTTCACTTATGAGTACTTCTATGTGAATAAAGGAGACACATTTGGTATTATGTGGGATGACATTAGTTTAACTTTTATCTATTGATTGATTGATTTTTATTTGTACTACTTTGTTAAGCAGATATACTTATTGATGGTGTAGTTTTACGTAGAAGCATTGCCTTTTTCTAATTGAATATATCTATATACATAACATAACTAAACAGCATCCCTAAACCCACATATGTATTTATAAACAATAAATGTAAAACATAGAGGTTGTATTAAAATCTTAGTGCACAATTGAAAACACCAATATGAAGTCATATATTTTAAATATAAAGATGATATAAAACTACTTAAAATACACTTTTGGGGAGTTAAACAAACCTTGAAAATTGTGTTAATATATAAATTTAAAACTTACAGCAGTAAGCCAAGTCCTAAGTCTTTCATTATCTACCATTTTCTACAAATTAATAATATTTCTTGCCAGCCAAAAATATCGAGATCTACTGTTCTCGATAATTATAAAAGATCTTATCTTAATTTTATATAAAGTTCAGTAAAATAATTAACTCCTACACACAATCACAAAAGAAAAGTGACATTTAAAAATTTATAATTGTCAAATGTCATGATGTCATAAGGTATAAGGTTCATAAAAATATCACAAAATACCGCCAAATTTAAATATGTTACAAATTGAAATAAATAAATTATAATACCACACAATACAGTAAATTGTTACATGTATAAAAATGTATAAAACATTGTAAATTGAATTCATTGTCAAAAAGTGGCGACTATATTTTCTTCATTTTACTTGTAGATATTAAATTGAATTTATTATTTATATTTACTACAGAAGAAACTACATTTTCGAGTCAGGGAACTTTATCTATAAGAATAGTTGGAAGTCAGAAGAAATCAGCATACAAGATACACCCTACAACTTCTTCTTTTTAGTTGTTAAATTGTTAGAAGTATGGTAATATTATGACATGGCGAGTTGATCTTTTCGATGTTCTCCATTTTCCTCAATATTCTGTAATTCTTATACATTATGGCATCGGAACACCTATGGTTGCAACAGAGGTATCTTTCCTTGTATGACAAGTAAATTGAAACCTATTAATCTAGGAAAAAACAGCAAAACTGGAAAAACCAATGTTTTTACTATAGTATAATTTTGATGACAGCAAGAATAACAATTTCCTGAATATCGCAGCCCACCAAATGGTTTCCCAACTCCTTAAAAATGAAAAAGCTTCTGGAAAGAAAAGTTAACCATGAGTGAAGATAAAACCAGCCAGGTGAACGAAGATTTCAATGATACTGAGCCTAAATCCGCCATCCACATCATGAAAAATTTCAAAGCACTGATATTGACGATCTGCGTACAAAACAAATCGAAAACTTTGGATCGAAATCATTAGAGTAGAGTCTCCAGATAATAAACAATTGACTCTAAGCTATACAAAGCAAGAAGACAAGCCTAAGTAGTTGTCTTGTTTATTTACGACCACAGCAAATCCGTTTCTCTGTGACCCAAATTACTTGGACGCATAATCCTCATTAGAATTTCATCAATAATTGACGAAAAATGTAGTAAAACGTATTAAACAGTAGATTTAGACCGGGAAGATTACATCACAAATACTGAATATTACCCAATAGGTACCTAGAAGGCATGAAAGATAATAGAATATTCGGGACAGTTTTTGTGGATCTTACCGTAGCTTACGACACCGTAAACCAAAGGCAACTCTTTAAAAAACTGTATGACATCACAGGATCACTTGCCCTTAACAAGCATAGAATAAAGGAAAACGGTATCGCTTAAGGCAATGTAATATTACCAACAGTGTATAAAATCGACACCAACGGTTAACCCGTACCGATAGATATCACCATCTGATATTAAAAGAGAAGTTCTGAGAGATGTGAAATGAAAGAAACAAATTGAGGAACCTCATTTGAATTCACTATCAAAGGAAAAGTTTTCTAGCCAGATCGCTTTATTTACAAGATTGATCAGAAAGAATTCGTCTTGCCAAATTGAAAGAAGTCATTTCTCAACGTCTAGAGTCTAGTGAAGAATTCGCACCTGGTGGCAAGTTTATGTACCAAGAACTGGTATATAATTTAGAGTAGTATTTAAGTTATCTGTGCATTATGTAAACATGCTAGGGCACAATGTGGAAAAGAGCAACCCAAATAGTCCTCTGATAAGGTAAAAAAACTAAGTGTAAAAAAACCTTGTTATGAAATCTACAAAACATCTTTTCAGACAGTTTCGACTCTTTTATGTGCTTAGTGCATATAATATTCCAAACAACTCTGTAGAGTCTGACGAAGTAATGTGATTGAATTTAAATTTTAAAAAAGTATTGGGCGTAAGGATGGCTGCACCAACATCGTCTGAAAATTTGGATACTTTCGAGATTAATTATCAGATTTTGCTATAGCGTCCCAAATTGAAGCCATTATATTGTTGCTTCTTTTGACGGAAAAGATTAGTTTTCACATTTATAGCTTCTGTACCAGTCGTTTTGATGATTACTGCTAGGATGAAATACATATAAACGAATATACAGACTTCACTATGCGTGAAATAAAATCTTAACTGTCTTTTCTTTTAACAACTTTACCTTTGAGCAAGTTAAAGAATTCACATATATTGAATTGCTGGTAAATACAAAAACGGGATGTGGGAGTATTCTGGGAGTAATCAAAGAGGGGAATCAGCTTTCTTATCGTGGACCCACGGATTAATTTTTAATTTATTTCTTTTTAAATTTATTGTATTAAGAAACACGCATGGGACTGCGTTTACTACTCTACGTTATATGTGGTTGCGCGATCTTTCGTTACGCTGCGTTGTAGTCATTTTTATTTTGTTATTCCTCTGCGCGATTCATTCCTCTATGCTTTCAAAAACACGACAAGCGACGAAGTGAAAAGATGCATTTCAATAGGAAACAGAACTCTCCATGAGCTCCAAAAACATCTGATAAATAAAACCTCAAAACGGGCAGTCAAATTTAAAATTTAACCTTAATAAAACCGGTTCTAATATATGGGCCGAAACATAGACTTTATTCTGTTTGAGGAGCATACACAGATACAACATTAAATACTTTATTAAGTTCACATTTCACTGACTTTGTTCTATCACTCGTTCTTATAACTTCTACTGCGTTATCTTTCATTTCAATATCAGCAATTATACCAACTTAATTCTTAGTATTACTTTTCACTACATACCATAATTGGTATCCTTCACCTAGTTCGTTCTCCCTTTGTCATTTCCATCTAGTTTTTTCTTTTAAGCCAATCTACTAACTCCACACTCTTGCCCCTCTTTATTTTTATTACCTATTAGTGATACTGAAATCAGGAATGTTTTGCGTAGATTGAAAAATTCACACTGCACATAAGTGTGGAAACAATCGATATAATTATTGACAAATTAAATTATACTCTATAGTGATTATCTTACTGAAGGGATTTTTCCAGATATATTAAAAGTAACAGATGTGTCTTTGACATTGTAAGACTTATCCAAAGGTTTTGACTGTGTTTCGCATGAATTACTGGTGGAAAAAATGCATTAATACGGTATTAGGGCAAACACCCAATCCATTTAGATCATACTTCACAAACAGAAAACAGGCAATTTTTCTTAATAACAACTATTTTGAGTTTAACACTGTCAAATATGGGGTTCTTCAAAGTTCGATATTACTACCCACTTTGTTTCTTATTTATCTGAACAATTTATTTCACTATACTTTTCCTACAAGCTACAAAAATAAAAATAATGAAAAATATAGGGAGATACATCGTCAAATCAAGAAAGAAATAGCTACCGCATAAGAAAATTGGATGATAGAAAACTGCCAAGAGATCGAAGAATTAATAAAGAAACATGACACTCAAACGCTTCACAAAAAAATAAAAGATCTAGCTGGAATGACAAAACAAAGACTCCCTTGTAGATTAACAAACGACGAGAATGAAACGATATGGGAATTAAGCGATCTAAACAACGTATGGGGACATTACATAGAAGACTATTCTCGGACACACCACTAAACAACATAATATATAAAAACCATGAAACCAGTCCTCCTATATTAAAACAAGAAGTAGAGAGAGCAATCAAAAACGCAAAAAATGGGAAAGCCCCTGACCCCGATGACATACATACGGAAGTCATAAAGCTACTGGAAGAGAAACATTTAAATATAATCGTCAAATTATTTAATCAAATATATACAAGCGGTGAAATTCCACAAGACTGGTTAAAATCAGTCTTTATTCCCCTTCCAAAAAACTAAGGGAGCAAAGAAGTGTGGTGATTTCAGACTTATTAGTTTAATGTCGCATATGTTAAAGTTATTCTTGAAAGTTATTCACCAACGCATTTATAAGAAATGTGAACAGGATATCAGTGATGAACAATTTGGCTTCCGAAATGGATTTGGGACACGGGAAGCATTAACCAGTTTTATTATACTGCTGCAAAAATGTCGAGACCAAAAAAAGGATCTCTTTTTATGTTTTATTGACTATAAAAAGGCCTTCGACAAAGTAAAACATGATAAGCTGATGGATTGCCTTCACAAAAAGGGACTAGACGAGAACGATTTTAAAATTATCCAAACGCTGTATTTTAACCAAACTGCAGCAGTTAGAACAGAAGCCGGTGACACAGAAATATTCAATATCAAGCGAGGTGTACGACAGGGGTGTGTATTGTCACCACTACTTTTCAATATATATTCGGAAGAAATCTTTGCACGAGCACTAGAGCAATCAAGAGAAGGTGTTAAAATTAACGGCACAGTTCTAAATAATGTACGATACGCCGACGACACGGTCCTAATTGCAGAGAGCGCACAAGATCTCCAGACACTCTTAGATCGCGTCAGATCGATCGGAGAACAATACGGCCTCAGCATTAACGTCAAGAAAACAAAAACAATGATTGTCTCCAAAACATCCATCCATCCACCCATGGATTTAAACGTCAATGGTAACATTATCGAAAATGTCGAGAAATTTCGATATCTAGGGTGCTGGATAACGAAAGATATAGATCCAGACATAGAAATAAAATCGCGAATTGAACAAGCAAGAAATGTCTTTTTAAAAATGAAACAAATGTTTACGTCCCAAACACTCAATCTCAAAATCCGATACCGAATGCTGAAATGTTACGTTTACAGCACCTTACTATATGGAATGGAGGCCTGGACCTTCAAAATCAACTCACTCAGGCGTTTGGAAAGTTTTGAAATGTGGTTATTTCGAAGGATGCTGAAAGTCCCTGGACAGCGCATATGAGCAACGAGCAGGTCCTACACAAGATGGGTACCGACAGAGAACTCTTAAAAATAATGAAAACACGGAAAACCTTCATATTTGGGACACATATACAGAAATGAGAAATACCAGCTACTGCAGCTTCTTATAGAGGGGAAGGTAGAAGGAAAAAGTGGTCCTGGTAGACGGCAGGCGTCCTGGTTGAAGAACATTCGTGAGTGGACTGGTTTGGATTCTCAATCTTTAATAAGAAAAGCCAGGGACAGAAATGA